ACAAGTGATGGCTTATAAGTGTGGCAGTCGGAAGCCAATTGACGAAGTGTACGCTTTTAATTTGATTCAAATTTTCAATTTCTAAAATTCGTTTTAGTGACCATTTTGCCATATTCAACTTCACATAATCACCTGCCCATTTCCTCATTTAATTTAGACATGGCAAAATTTTGTCCCCACAGATTTCTCCATAATTACTATTCTCAAAATGACAAATATTATTTTTGAAAACACAATAACTTACCATTAAAAATAATTTAAAGAGATAATCAGTTGAAATTTATTGAACGAATATGGAAGCGACAAATAGTAACAACAGAAAATAAAACAGCATTCGTGAAAATATGCAGTAAATCAAACAAAAATAATTACTAAATTATTAATAAAAATTTGAATAAAAAACGTTCCCATTGAATAAAAGTAACAACTAATTCCACGATCGCACACAAACTAAAATTCACTAATTAAGACAATCAACAATGAATAAGATAAGATTTTATCGGGAAAACATGCAATCATGAGGCTATGAGTTTTTCCATACCAATGAAAGCAACTATTGACACTCTTACGCTGTGTAGGAACATGTACTTCCTTGGCTTATTGAATTTAAATGATTTAAGTGATTTATCGATTGCAGTTGTAATTGTTGATGCGATTCATTACCACGTCGTATTGGAGGAGTGTCGCGAGTGCTAATGGAGGGATTTTACTTAATTCCACAGGTGAAATATCAAGTTGTTGCAAAGTGGATGGACCGATCACCTGAATGTAACAAGTCCACCTCACACCACGTCGAAGAATGAGATTATTATCAGCCCTTGTGAAGCATTCCTTTACAATTCAATCACTATTACTTGAGATCTCTAATTCCAAAAGATGGGAAGCTATTTCAACCTAGTTGTGATTCACATGTTCAAATCAAAGATATTTAATGAAATAAAGCAATAATTGGGGAAAGTATTATAACGTGAAATATATCGTCAAAGGAAGAAATTGAGTGTAATTTTATCACAAAGCAGGACTGAATAGTGGTGAATGTTTGCTCTTACGAGCATTGACTATACTCTGTCATCTCCATTGCCGATTCTCGAATATTTGGAAGGGCTTCCATGGATAGTCTAGCTGCCCCAAAGGCAAAGATGACTGAGGTGGAAGGCGGAAAATAATTGTTTTGGTAGAGAGAAGTACAGAGGAGGAACTTAGTCACAACCCACACAATCTCTCATGACAAGTATGTACTGGATTTGGCTGTTAATTGGTCCTCCTGTCTCTGGTCTTTGATTGGTCCATAGGATTCGGATTCAGACATCTTAAAATTGAGCTTCCACAATTTTCACCATGTTTGCTATATGCAAATCAACAAATATTATTTTTGAAAACGCAATAATTTACCATTAAAAATACGTTAAAGAGATATTCAGGTAAAATTTATTGGTCGCATACGGAAGAGACAAAATGTTGCAGTAGAAAATAAAACAGCATTTGAGAAAATTTGCAGTTAATCAAACAAAAATAATAACTTAATTATTAACAAAAATTTTAATAAAAATTTTATACAATAATACATTCAGTAATTATTTCAGGCAAATAAAAGCCGATATCTGTTAAAATTAATCAATTACGACACTATTGTTTAAGTTGACCCATGTTAATTGATATAGGTTGTGGCACATATTTGAATTGCTATGGCCAGCAATAGGATGAATGACCGCCGTCAGAGCCGTCGCAAGCAGAACCTCTCCAACTTAACCAACTCCTATTCCTTCGGTATCTATCATGATGATGATGATGTTGTTGTTAGTGGTGTCCACTCCTTCTACAACGACAATGCTGCACATTCGAGGATGCCATCTTGTCATGTGCCTCCATCAAGACGTGTAGCTATCACTTCTACCGATTTTCGACAACTCACCGAACGTCTTCTAAGGCACGCAGAAATTGAACGCCGTCGAAGACGAACTGCTTCCATCATGCACGAGTTGCTGCGTTTGTGCATAACTGAAGACGACCTCAGAGAATGGACATTGAGTGGAGCCAAACGGTTGGAATATCTTTCCCACAATGAGATTCTAAGCATTTCCTCTCGAAAGTTGGGGAAAGCAGTTAAAAAAATCAGGACAATTGACTGCTTGCTGCAGGAGATAAGGCAATATGAAGGCATTCTGCAAAGAATGAATATTCCCCATAGAATTATGAGACCATTTGGAATTCCCAAGACATTTCACGAACAACTGGGTGAATTAGTGGAGAATATCGTGGAGGAGGATGCAAGGTAGGCCAGTATTTGAAGATAACGAATTTGTTTGTAGAATGATGTCACAGGGGGGAAGTGGAATGCCAATACTACGAGAGGTTGCGTTAAAGGCGCGCAGAGCACTTGAAAGTTTAGCTAAGATGGCTACTGTAATGTGTGACGTCACCGATACAATCAGAGTGCATTCCCCTGCTGGTGGCATAGCGCCAACGCGAGCAGCGGCAAGCCGACAACGCGACATCAATCGCGTCCAAGAAGCTGACCACGTGAACGATCCCACTGTGGATTTGGATGATAATGTTGATGATGACGACGACGACGATTGTGATACTGTTGTTAATGAGTTGCATAGCCCAATTGCGGATTTTGATGATTATGATAATGGTGATGATAATTCGGTGATTGATTTACAAAGATGTATAAACAAGGAATTCGGCCAGGTTACAAGTAAAGGGGATCTTATTGATGACGTCGAATTTTACTCCAATCTTGAAATACCTGGTGCAAAGAATCCGGATGAGAGGTACTACCCCTGATTATACTTACAGTGACCAAATCGTCTTTCCCACTCTTTTTTACCTCACTTTACACCACTTTGTCTCTTTTAATATATTTTTACTACGATCACATAATTTTCTACATGGCGTCTTTAAATTGGCTTGTGCATGTTCTATGAATTAGCCTTCCAATTCTGCCTAGAGTGAAGTCAGTATTCTGGTAACGTAGGGTGACAAGGTACCTCACTATGGCATGTTCTTTGTGAAGGGAATTAACAATTTAATTGAATGCTATGATTGGCGGTATAAGATTGAGGTAGTCAAGGTCATGTATGTGAGACATTTCGTTCATTGTGTAAGTTGCAGTTTGAGGTCTTAATGTTAATAAAAGTCGTATGTTTGAATTTATGTAATTGATAATGTGAATTTCAATGTCAATATCAGCAATATCTCAGAGTTGGCAAATTCTCTCAGGGTTAGATAAGCTACAGGGAAGCAATGATGGAAAGAGATGTAATGTGTGGACCAAGTAGGGAATAGTGCGTTACTGTGAGGAGGAGCAGTCTGTGAAATGAGACAGCACTGGATTCCAAAGCATCACGTAGCTCATCCCATTGACATTAATCTCGAAGTCTCCGGAAACTATCTTTGGTGCAATATTATTATTATTTCAAATGGCAGGCTTTGTGATATTTATCATTAGCCCTTAAACTTTGACTTCAGCCTGGCCCAAGGGTGGGGGGTACATCTATAGCAATTAATTAATAGCAGTTCATTAGTCGTCTTCTTGCTTCCCAGTATCTCTGGCTTGTCGTCGTTGTCTTTAGGGCTGGACATCGAATCAGGTGGGTCTTCTCCATTTCCTCCTGTAGGTTACATAGAGGGCATGTGGGTTGAGTGTATACGCCCAATCTGTGGAGATGTTTTGCAAGCAATCGTGTCCGTGTATGCCTCAATCTTATATCAACAATCATAACATTCAATTAAAAAGCAACTTTTTTATTTATTTATTAGGTTTGAACTCAACTGACCTCGTATAAAAAAGTTCTCTTTTAACTAAATGTACACAATGATATTTCCCTTTGGCTATTTACCCCTCAGTATTAACCACTTTTAATTAGATTTTACTCAGTACACTAGTTCAAATGACCTCGAGCATCATATACTTCATAATTCTTCGTTTCCAAAATGCGAAAATGGAATCATGTCCTTACGAGAGATACTAATTGCTCGAGGTTATACGATTACAAGCCTATAGAAGAAATTATTAATTATTGCTTCCTTGCTTGCAACGGAATAATTGAGTTGGAATCGAGACATAATGAATATTACTTAGATTGAAATAATATGAAAATTTTGGTTTGCATCATAAGTGGTTCTAGAAGAAATGATTCATAAAAAGGTAACAATGTACAGCTTCTCAGCAAGTGAGAAATTGATTGGATGCAATTTGAATAAGAAGAGGTGGCAATACTCCTTTCCTTCTTTCGGCATATATATTTCCTAGAAGTCAGTATCCATGCGGATGGAGGCTGAAGACGCTGCCAAATTGCTGTAATCATTTTGGCTAAAATTATGCCACTTTGGGCACATATTCCAAGTAGAGTAGACGCGGATGTGCGCGAAAACTCTTTCAACCTGTACCATGGATTTTGATAGATTGGTCGGTATAATTCTAGAAGTTGTCTTATTTAAGTTGGCACCAACATCATCGTGAACCATAATCTACAGAATCTTGAAATTCTACTACTTGAAGGCAGAGTTCACTCCTACTAACACCCTCATTTATAAGAAAGACATTTAAAAATAATCGGCGAACATGATTGTTATATAAATTGTCCTGGTATTGTCAAGTCATGCCTTCGACATTAATTCCAATGGAAAAGTAAAGAGTGGTGGGCGAAGACCAGTAATTAACTATTGAGATGACGATGTCACAAGTCTTTCTATACTTATGTTCGAAAACATTGAATTATCCTTTCCATCAAATTAGTAATATAGACTAGTAATAATACCCTTCACACAGAACATGCTCTAGTGAGGCACATTGTCACCCTGCGTTACCAGAATATTAACCTTACTCTAAGCAGAATTGGAAGGCTAATTCATATAACATCCACAAACCAATTTAAAGAAGACGTCATGTAAGAAATTATGTGATCGTAGTAAAGGTTTATTAAAAGAGACAAAGTGAGGTAAAGTGATGTAATTAAAACGTGGGAAAGACGATTTGGGCCCTGTATTTATAATTAGGGGTTATATATCTCATCCGGCTTCTTTGCACCCGGTATTTCAAGACTGGAGTAAAATTCATCGACATCAATAAGTTCCACTGTACTTTTCACCAAGTCCAATTTGTAGCTTAACCAGCTTTGTAAATCATTCAACGCATAATCATCATCACATTCCGCAAGTAGGCCATGAAACCCATTTTCATCAGTATCATTGTCGTCGTCGTCGCCGTCGTCATCATCAAAATCCGCCATCAAATCATGTACCCCATTCACAACAGTATAATCATCATCACATTCCGCAAGTAGGCCATGAAACCCATTTTCATCAGTATCATTGTCGTCGTCGTCGTCATCGTGATAATAAGAATCCGTCATCAAGTCATGTACCTCATTCACAACAGTACCATCATCGTCGTCGTCATCATCATCAGAGTCCGTCATCAAGTCATGTAACTCATTCACAACAGTATCATCATCATCGTCGTCGTCATCATCAGAATCCGACATCAAGTCATGTACCTCATTCTCAACAGTATCATATTCGTCGTCGTCGTCATCATCAGAATCCGCCATGAATTCATGTACCTCTTTTACAACGGTATCATCATCGTCGTCGTCGTGATTATCAGAATCCGACATCAAGTCATGTACCTCATTCACAACAGTATCATCATCATCGTCGTCGTCGTCATCGTCAGAATCTGACATCAAGTCATGTACCTCAATTACAACAGTACCATCATCGTCATCGTCGTCATCATCAGAATCCGCAATCAAGTCATGTTACTTATTCACAACAGTATCACCATCTTCGTCGTCGTCATCATAAGAATCTGACATCAAGTCTTGTAACTCATTCACAACAGTATCATCATCGTCGTCGTCGTCATCATCAGAATCCGATATCAAGTCCTGTACCTTATTCACAACAGTACCATTATCGCCGTCATCGTCCTCATCACAATCCGACATCAAGTCCAGTACCTCATTCTCAACAGTATAATATTCGCCGTCGTCGTCATCATCAGAGTCCGTCATCAAGTCATGTAACTCATTCACAACAGTATCATCATCAGAACCCGTCGTCAAGTCATGTTCCTCATTCACAACAGTATCATCATCGAAGTCGTTGTCGTCGTCATCATCAAAGTCCGACATCAAGTCATGTACCTCATTCACAACAGTATCAATGTCGTCGTCGACGTCATCATCAGAATCCCACATCAAGTCATGTACCTCATTCACAACAGTATCATCATCGTCGTCGTCGTCATCACCAGAATCCGAAATCAGGTAATGTTCCTCATTCACAACAGTATCATCATCATAGTCGTCCTCACCATAAGAATCTGACATCAAGTCTTGTAACTCATTCACAACAGTATCATCATCGTCGTCGTCGTCATCATCAAAATCCGATATCAAGTCCTGTACCTTATTCACAACAGTACCATTATCGCCGTCATCGTCCTCATCAGAATCCGACATCAAGTCATGTAGCTCATTCTCAACAGTATCATATTCGTCGTCGTCGTCATCATCAGATTCCGACATCAAGTCATGTAACTCATTCACAACTGTATCATCATCGTCGTCGTCTCATCATCAGAATCCGACATCAAGTCATGTACCTCATTCACAACAGTATC